ATATTAGCAAAGGATTTTTAGGAGAATGTTGTAGTACATGCGTGGAGGAATTTAAATGAGGTAATTTTATGGGGAATGCTAATGATTTTATTCATGGATGAAAAAGTTGTATTTTTGCGCGGCGTCCAGGCCGACAGCTTGTAAATTTTAATTCGCGTGCACGTGCTCGCGTCCCATGTTCAAATACACATTGTTCATTTTCCGGGTTTCTATTTTAACGTGGCCGATTACATTGTATAAATTCGAATAGTATTTTATATTTGAATTTGAGGTTGGAGAATAAAATGACACGCAGAAAATTGTCTACTGCGTTGTAAAATTTATTCGTGTTCCTTCGTCTATGACAAACTGGTATTTAGTTGTCAGATGATATAAATTCAGAAGAAGTTTGAATTTATAAAAACTCAACTTCTAATGTTTCTTTAATCTTGAAACAGTAAATAATATTAAATATACTGTCGGTACATTTTATATATTACAACATTAATATTGATACCATCTTGAAGATTTGTACCATTTCTTATAGTTCGAAGAAATGACCAACAGACTAAGAAAAACAAAAATCCCAGAACAAATAAAACGATTCGAAAACTACCTACCGAAACTAGTATAAAATATCCAAACCACTCTGTGTCTCACTCTGAAGAGAACTTTCTGTAAAGAGATTCCTCCCACACATATTTTCCTTTTCTCAAGATTTTACCTTGGTGTGGTCGTTGATCCGACACAACACGTGTCACTGTCGCTTTCCACTTTCTGCGCGTACTGCTTCGTGATATATGTATTACAGTTTTTCTCTCCCCCTTGACACCCTCTTTTCCTGTAGAACCCAAGGGATCGCTGGATTCGATAAAATTTACTCAACAGAAGGTGACGTTCGCCATGCGAACTTCTAGCCACCTTCATTTCCGGCTGTGTCCTCGTTCTCCGTCGCACCAGCGTCGTCTACGAGGTGGACTGAAATCAAGTTGGGTTAGGTTCGGGATCCAGACAAAGGGAAGCGTCACGGGAAAATTTCTGGCGGTCCGAACAGCTTTCCCTATTGCTGCTTCTCTCTCTCTCTCTCTCTCTCTCTCTCT